CCCCGCGTGGAGGAGACCTTCACCGTTGCCCGGAACGGGAATTTCCAAGCCATTCCCTCGGGTCCCATAGCCGGGCAGCCAGGGTTTTGTGACCAAGTAGAACCGTCTTTGCGGGCCATTTCCTCAGAAGAAACCTCTGCGTGGCTTTGCCGGGTCTGTAGTAAGACCGCCTGACTGTCGGAGAGAGGCAGCCCGGCCGGGACCGGGAAGACCGGTCGCTTTGGCGACCCGCCCGCGGTTGCGGCCTTGCCCCGCCGCGCGGGCCCGCTCACTGCCCAGAGCCCGTGCCTTTGGCGTTGACCTGGGGTCAGCAGGCGCGGGGAGTTGCGCCCGGAGCCGTTCCGGGGGCGAGCTGAGTGTCGGGGGACCGGTAAGAGGGCGGAGGCGGTGGCAGCCGAGGGCCGCCGCAGGCGAGGGCCCCGGGCCCCGGGGGGAGCCAGGCTGCCCGGGCTTCAGGAGGTCGTGGCGTGAGGGGCCGGGGGTGGGGGGGCCGCGGGCGGTGGGAGCCCAGGCGGCCTGTGCTCTGGCGAGCGGAGTGGACTGGGGACGCCGAGGAGCCACGCCCTGGAGGTCAGCCGGGGAACGCAGGGTGGCCGGGCATGTTTGCCTTGTGATGTTGATTCTCAGCTTTTTCCTTCTAGTAATAATGGACAAATACCAGGAGCAGCCTCACCTGTTGGACCCACACCTTGGTAAGAATAGAGGCTGACGATTTTGGTTTTGGTCATTCAGTTGCGGATGGCCACAGGGCCTTGGTTTGTGATCTGGGTGCCCAGCAGCGGAGGCTGTCAGGATGAAGAGCCGGGTCTCCTAGCTGTCCGGCCGGTTAGCTCTGTGGCCTGTGATACTGTGGTAGCTCCAAACGTCGCTCTAGGCTGCGGGCAGAAGTATTTGAGCCAGTTTCTTCCCCCTGCTTATGAAAGACCACATCATGTCCAGTTCGACCGGCCTGCCTCCAGGCACATTTTCTTAAGAGGACCAGGTGCTTTACTGGGATCGCCATTTGGTCCTCACAGCGTCTCAGGTGGCACCTCGATGGTCATCTCCAATTTACAGGTGGAGACACCGAGGTTTGTGTTTCCTTTGATTTGTTATAAGGGAAATGAATTTTTGTTTCTTTTGTGTCATTGTTTTATTTTTGACTTCATTTTTTTTCCTTCTTCCTGCCATCAGAAGTAACACGTGCCCCTGGCCTGGGATTTGAGAAAGAGTAAGGTAGCAATAGTGATTTGAGTTGAAAGGCAGCCTGGGGTGGACATTAGATGCAGGAGCCCCTGGGCCAGGCCTTCAGGGGTTACGTCCCAGCTCCAGCACTCAGCTGCTCTGGCCTGGGTTTCCTCATCACAGGGCTGTTGAAACTAACTTGTTCCATGGGAGGCACTAAGGGGTAGCTTTAGGGTGTACACATTTTAAAAAGTGGGCTGGTGCTCATTTTTTCTTCAGCGAGCCAAAAGTTTACGTAGAAGGTAAGCCTTTGGAACGCCGCCTGTCTTGCAAAGATTCATTTTTGTATTGGGTTGGTGGTCTGGCTGGGTGGAGACGCGGTGTGGTTCCCGTTGCCTTCCTGTACCCACTGCTGCCAAGCCCCCCGAGGTCTGCGTTCTTTTTCAGGAGCCCTTTTTGCCCCTGAAAGTCTCTAGAACCTGATAACTTGCCCGGCTACCTTCTCTTAGGCTGGGCATTTGCTGGGCAATCTCAGGCTGAAGACTTGCGTCTTTGCCAGGGCCTTGCTTCTGGAGCAACCGGATCGCTGCTCTGCTCCTGTTCCCTCCGGTGCGCCTTGAATCGGGTGCCGGATCTCCACGAGTGTCGCTCTGGGCCTTTAGTGTCTCCCTTACGTTCTGCTCTTTGATCTTTGCTTTTCACGTAGATGATGATCTTGAATTTCTTTTGACAACTGCTTTTACTTTTGAAGAGCTCTTGGATTGGCATGTGTTGATGCTGTCTTACCGGCTGGGTCTTCCTGCCTGGGGAGCATGCTCCAGGCTGCCGGTGCTCTGGCCTTGTGGGTCTTCCAGCCCAGAACGCTGACTTGCTGTTGAGTTGGCCACAGGGCTGTCCTCGGCCACACGTGTCCAGCTCTAGGCCTCTCCTTCCTTCTTCGGAGCACCTCTGTCCAGGAGAGCTCTGAGTGGTGATGGAATGCTGTAGATCTGCCCCGTCTGGGAAAGTCATGACTAGCCGTCTGTGACTGCTGAGCACTTGAAATATGGCTGGTATGCCTGAGGAACTGCATCTTACATTTTGTTTGATTAAAATGAAAAACACCACGTGGCTGGTGGCTCTGGTATCCCCCATTCTGGAGAGTAATGGGCGAGGGGTTGTGACCAGGAACCTCAGCCCCACCTGCATCCTGCCCTTGCTGTCCCTGTGGGCCTGGAGCTGTGACTTGCCCTTGGGCTGCTCCTCAGTTCTCAGGATCTCACTGCTGCTGCCCAGCTTCCCCGTCACTGCTGATGTCTCTTGGCTCGTGTTTCTTCTCTTCTGTTGTGGATTTGTCTATGCATCACTGTTGCTCTTGGGTTTGGAGGTGGGGCTGCTGAGATAAGCATGTGCAGTAATCTGCTTCCCATTCTCCATTCTCGCTTGACCACTGTGATGGCTTCCAAATCTGAGTCAAGTTCTGGCTGCTCTCTGCTGTCCCCCAAGCTCACCTCTTTCCTTTGGGTCAGCCTTTCTGTATAATGTCGTCTTTTCACGTTGCTGGTTCTGTCCACATTTAAGATCAAATGGATGCAGGTGAGGGCTCCTGTTTATATACTGTGAGTGGGAGCTGTCCAGAGGGACCTTCCCTGAATGGGTTTCAGGCAGGCAGCTGCAGTGGGGTAGCGTGGTGTGTTGTGGGTACGTTTTCCTGGGAGCAAGTCAGTTGGTCGAGTTGTCACACCTTTATCTGGGGTGCCCATGTATCCTCCAGAGAACCCATCACTTGCTTAAGCATTTGTCGGAGTTTTGCCTTGGGATAAAAGCTGCTCCTGCTCCCCAGGTGAGCATGAGCATGGGGCTGGGGCAATGGCCGCTCCCCCCCCCCACCCCGCCATGGGCCCCGCCGCACTGCCGACTCTGAGCCCAGAGCTGTCCACAGGCCCCCCTCAGCCATGCTGAGGGCCTCTGCCTGTCTAATCTGCAGTTCCTCTCTCCTCTGTCTTTCTCCCAGAAGTCTTTGAAACCTCTCTCTTCCTGTTCTCACCACTGCTCAGGATTTTCCCTTTGCGACTGTGCTTGTATTTTGCTGGGTCTTAGGAACAGTGGGAGGCCTGGTAAGGGCACCTGTGTCTAGTTTTGTATTCTTGCAAGTAGCCCAGCAAACATCCTTAATACACATCTTTGTGCAACTTTCCCAATATTTTAAGTAATTTCCTAGAAGTGGAAGTGCTGGTCTTTTGGTACTTATTTCAAATTCAACTTAAATTTCAAACAACAGCATATGAAGGTTGTCTTTTCTTTGCATCCTTGGCAGGGGTGGATTTGAATATTTGAAACCTTTACCACCATAAACAAGTTGCCTATTAAAAGGGGACAAGGCATTATGTGGTTTTATTTGCATTTTATTGCTTTCTCGTGAGGATGAATTTTTTACATTTATTGTTAAATCGGCACCATCTCCCCTTGTGGACTGTTTATTCATGCGCATTCACTATTTGTGCTGTCAGCAGCACGGTGCAGTTTATTAACCATTCAAGTATAGTAGCATCCGGTAAGATCAGGACAGAATTGGGATCTACAATTCAACAAATAATTCAGCATCTAGCATTTAGAGAAGGCACTACATACTCTTCGCAAACATGTTTTCATGGAGCCGAGATGGTACTAGCCATCAACCCAGTCCACCAGGTGTACCGAAGTGGAGGAGATGCCACAAGAAAAATAGCTACATTGGAAAGATTACAACACTTCAGAGAAGGAGTAGAACACTGCCCATTTCCCCCCTTTAGCCCCTCAGACACCACCATACAGTCTGGATCTACCTGTATAGTCTTAGCTCAGCTTTCAGAATATTTGTCAGGAGGGCAAAACTAAAATGATGCCGGCCAGTGCAGTCTTGGACACTTAGGAAGTTCTCAGAACAAATCAGCTTCGCCTCGTCAGCAGGATCTTCTTCTTCCCCACCTCAGTGTGCTGGTGCCTCTCTCGCAAGCACTCCAGGCTGGCAGCTGTCTGCCCTCAGTCCCGTTGGCTTCCGTTTTGCAGCCGTTTCTCCTCTGCCGTCTTACTGAGGCTGTTCTCCCACTCCTGCTGCGCTCTCATTTCTCAGCAGGCCGCGGCAAGACCTCAGGTTCCTGGGACTTGTGTCTGTCTTCTGCAGCTTCCAATTCCTTCGGAATTTCTCCAGGGAAAAAGACCCTTCCCCTTTGAGGGAAAGGGGGAGTTGTGGGATGGGTCCTGTTCAGGGGCTGAGAATCAGCTCAGAAGCCTGGCCTGAGGCTTTCCAGTCCTCTCACCTCTTATCAGAAGCAGCTGTGGGGACAGAGGACGAGAGACTGGCCGTGTATTCTACATAGTCCACCGGCAAAGAAACCCTCCACCTGAGCGTGTGCGTGTTTGAGTCCCTGCAGGGTCGCCAAAACCCTGTCAGTAAGCCAGTCCAGGGGGACCTCCCCGTGCTCGGCGAGACCACCTCGTGGGAGGGTTCCTCGCTCTGATGGAGAAAGAATTCAGGAGCAGGTCTAGAGGCACAAGCAGGGTTTAATGACGCAGAAGTACACATTCAGTGGGGGAGTGCGGGCTGCACCAGACGTGAGCAGCCCGTGTGCATTAACTCTTGATTTTTGCCCTGTTCTGAGTGAGCTTTTAAGCAGATCAGCTCATTGAGTCATCACAATAACCTCACAGTACCTGTGGAAGGTCAATTATCATTGATCGTACTTTACAGAAAAGGAAACTGCAGGACAGCTCCGAGAGGCGAAGTACCTTGCCCAAGGCCACAGCTAGTAAGTGTTCCAGCCGAGACTTAAATCCCGGCAGTGCACTCAGCCCTGGTAGTGAAGATGTTGAGAGATCTGCGAGCTCTCAAGGGCTCTTCTGAGCAAAAGCTTCACAGATTCCCTAGATTCTGGATCCTAGAGTTCACTGGGATCGACCCTGCCTTCCTTTTATCCTGAGAAAGCTTGCAGGCCTCGCGAGGGGCAACTGCAGGTCGGAGATGTGCGGGAGAGGGCTGGCCGCAGGGGCGATGATCAGGGCCGGAGAAATGAGCCTCCCCTGAGGCGGCCGGCCAGGGAGAGTGCAGGGCACTGGGCCCGCCGGCTCCCTCTTGCGGTAGATCTTGGGTTCGCGTCCGCTCCCGCGGGGACTGCTGGTGTGGTCGTTGCTCAGGAGCGAAGATGGCCTGTATCATACCCCTGCGCAGCAGCCTTGGACCTGCGGCACTTTCTTCTTGCCAGAAACTTCTCACCTTCGTGGATCGTGGAATATTACACTTCCTGTGAGTTGTTTAGAGTGATCTGAATGGTTTTTGAGAGGTCATCATAAAATGAACTGGAAAAAGGTCCCTTGTAGAAAAGGAAACAATAGTATGGATGCTGGTCTGCGCGTTGCACATGTGTCATGCCTTTCGCTTTTGTCTTTTAGTATGTGGTGTATTTTGTCTCCTGAGTTTTTAAAAATACTTACGTTGTCAAACTGTCATTTGTCTTGTGTTTGGCCTTTGGAAGCATGTGTTAGAAAGCTTGTCTGCCCTGACTGTGTAAGTCAGCCTCGTTTGTCAGACACTCCGCAGCTCTCCGCCCTCCCGTTACAAGCACCACTTTAGATGTGTGTGAAATACATACACCGGCCTTTGTTTCTAGTTTCGGTCCTCTTCCCTTTATCTGTATGCTCTTTTATCCTTGTCATTAGTTGCTTTGGAATATGTTTTGTCTGAATCCAACCTTATTTTCCTCCCTCTTCTCTCACACTTCATTAATGCGACGAACTTCAGAATTATTTTATCACCCCTCAGAAGATGCCTTAGGGATTTTGTTAAATTTGCACATTCATACAGGGAGAGTCAGTGTCTCTACAAGATTGAACTTTCCTGTCTGAGGACATAGTCGTATGTCTCTAATTCTTCAGATCATTTGTGTCCCTCAGTAAAGTTTGGTAATTTTCTTCAGGTGATTATTGGAAACTTTGTTTTTAGGTTTATTTCTAAGTATGTTTTATTTTTTGTAACTATTTTTGTTATATTTTCTAACATTTTTGATGGTGTACTTGATACATTTTTGTATATGTATTTTGTAAATGGCAATACTGTATAATGGGATGTACATGTGTAGGCACACTTTTTCTTAAAGCTTTATTGAGATAGTTTACATACCATGGAGTTCACCCTTTTAAGTGTATGTCTCATTGCTTTTTTAGTATATCATGGTTGGTTGTGTGACCAGCACCGCTCTCTAATTCCTGAACGTTTTCATCACCCCGAAAAGAAACCCGTTTCGTCAACAGCCACTCTCCCCCCAGTCCCTGCAACCACTCATCTGTTTGCTGTCTGTGGATTTGTGTATTCTGAGCATTTCACATAATGGAATCAGACACTATGGTCTTTTGTGACTGTTTTCTTTAATTTGGCATAATGTGTTCAAGTTTCATTTTTAGCGATGATGTTCACCTCGCTGGTTTCCTCTTGTTCCTTTTGTGTTTTCTGTTCAGGTAAATACATAGTTTGTAGATAATGCTAACTTGATCTCTTTATCCATGATTATACATTTTCATTCTTTCTTAAAAGTTCTTTTTAAAGTTAACTTTATTGAGATATAATTTACACATAATAAAATGCACCCATTTTTGTGTGCCCCGGTTTGAATGTTGACAAGCATAGGCACCTCTACTGGGCAAGACTTTGAGCCCCAGCAGGTTCCTCTGTCCCTCTGTGGTCTGTCTCCCTCATCCTGGCCCTGGGCAACCACTGATCTACTTTATTTTCTCTCTGGCTTCTTTGCGTTAAATAGTATTATTTAACAAACAAGTTTGTTAAATAATAATAAACTTATCCACAATTTTTTTACTCTTCGCCTGCTGATGGATGTTTGTGTTTTTGCACTCTTTTAATGTTGCTACAAGCATTCAAAGACAATTCTATGGGTGGATGTGTATTTTCATTCTGAGTAAATATGCAGGAGTGGAGTGACTGGGCTGTAGAATGAATGTCCACCCCTTGCCGTGGTGATCAGTGCTGTAGTGATGAGCTTTTGTGATAAACCACCATACTGTTCCCACAGAGGTTGTGCCATTTTACATTTCCACCAACCATCTGTGGGAATTGCGATGGCCCTACATCCTTGTTAGCATTTACTACTGTCCATCTTCCTGATCTGAATGAACCCTTTTTGTGAGCGTATGGCAGTATTTCATCAAAGTTTTACTCTGCATTTCCTAGGTGCAGATTCAGTCTTTTTCATTTGTTAAGACTTATGACCCAGCAGTGTGTGCTGTTTTGTTGAAAGTTCTATGTGCATTTGAGAACAGTGTGTAGTCTGCTATTGGGTAGTACTCTGTAAATGTCCTCTACAAATGGTGTTATTTATATCTTTGATGTCCTCACCGAATTTCTCACCTGTTCTTATCAAGTCCTGAGAGAGGAGAATTGAAACCTTCAGCTGTGATTGTAGATTTATTTCTCCTTTCAGTTTTTCAGTTTTTGCTTTGTTTATTTTGAAGGTTTGTAATTTGGTGTGTCCAGTTGCAGGATTGTTAAGTCTTCATGATGAAATGTTCTCTTTATCTCTGTGAATTCTGTGCTCTGAAGCCTGCTCTGTCTGATACTGATATGGCTACTCCAGCTTTCTTAGGATTAATCACACCTGGTATATCTTTTTCCTTCCTTTTACCTTGCTATGTTTTTATTTTTAAAGTGCGTTTCATGTAGGTAGGTTATTACTTGTCTCCCCTTTTTTAAAAATCCAGTCTGACGATCCTTGCTTTTTTATCGCAGTGTTTAGTCATTTAATGCAGCATCAATATAGGGTTTGAATCAACTTTCTTGTTATTTGTTTTCCGTTTGTCTCATCTGTTTTTTGTTTTTTTTTTATTGAGAGGGCATCTCTCATATTTATTGATCAAATGGTTGTTAACAACAATAAAATTCTGTATAGGGGACTCAATGCACAATCATTAATCAACCCCAAGCCTAATTCTCAACAGTCTCCAATCTTTGAAGCATAATGAACAAGTTCTTACACGGTGAACAAGTTCTTACATGGTGAGCATTGCAAGGGCAGTCATATCACAGAAACTTTTGGTTTTGATCACGCATCATGAACTATAAACAATCAAGTCAGATATGATTATCCATTTGATTTTTATACTTGATTTATATGTGAATCCCACATTTTTCCCGTATTTTTTTTTTTTGAATAAAATGCTGAAGTGGTAGGTAGATGCAAGATAAAGGTAGAAAACATACTTTAGTGCTGTAAGAGGGCAAATGTAGATGATCAGGTGTCTCATCTGTTTTTGTTTCTTCTTTACTCTTGGCCCACTTTTGTATTAATTTAACATTTTTTGATATTCCATTTAGTCTCCACAGTTGGGTCATGGCCATTTTTTTTCTTTTTAGTGATTGCTGTAGGAGCTACAACATGATCAGCAGCTTGCCTCACTCTTCCTTCAGGTGATTCTGTTTCACGTGTGATGTGAGAGCCTCACAACAGGATCCTCTCCTTTCTGCCTCCTGTTCTTTGTTTTCTGTTTACATCTTCCATGTATGTCATAAACCATAGAGAATATTTTTACAGTTTTTACTTTAAACGCTTAATTTTCTTTCAAACAAATTAAAAATGAGAAAAAGATTTTTAATATTTATCCTTGTGTTTACCATTTCTGCCTTTATTTTTTGTTTTCTGTAGATTGTAGTTTCTATCTGGTATCATATATTTTCTGCTTAAAGAATTCAACATTTCTAGTGCAGATTTACTGAATTCTTTCAGCTTTTGTTTTATAGTTTGTTTTGCTTTCCTATTTGAAAGATGTTCTGCTGGTTATAGGATTCTAGGTTGACCATTTTTTCTTTCAGCATTTTAAAAGATGATGGCCCTCCTGCCTTTTGGCTTGGCTCTGACAAAAAGTCTGGCTTCATTCTTTTTTCCTTTATGTGATGTGTGCTTTTGCCCTCTAGCTGCTTTTAGAGTTATCTTTTTATCGCTGGTTTTCAACAATTTGATTATGACATGCCATGATGTGGTTTTCTTTCTGTTTATCCTACTTGGGGTTTGTTGAACCTTTTGGATATTGGGTTCATAGTGTCACCAGATCTGGGAAGCACCTGGCCGTCACTTCCCTTGGTGTCTCCGCCCCTCCTCCTGGGCCTCCAGTCACACGCGTGCTGACGCTCTAGGTCGTGTCCCACGTGTCACTAGGCCCTTCACTTTTTTTCAGTCTCGTCTCTTTTTTCCCTGTAGTGTAGACATTTCTATTACTGTTTCTTAAGTGTTCTGACCTTTTCTTCTCTGGTATCTAATCTGCTGTTAATCTCATTTAATTTTTTATTTCTTATTCTTTCCAGCTCTCAAAGTTGTGTTAGTTGTGTTAATATCTTCTATTTTGTTCATGTTTTCTTTTACATCCTTGAGCATATTTGTAGTTGTTCTAGTACTGTGGTAAAGTTTATATCCACTAATTCTACCACCTTTGTCATTTCTGGGGTATTTCTGTTGACTGGTTTTCCTCCTTGTAGGGGACTCAGTCATTTTAGACAGTCACATCTAGTGTCATTTTAAAAGCAGGAATGAATGTTTTATTAATTCTAATGCCCTTTTAGAAACTGTTAAAATCAAAAAAATTTCTTTTGTTCTATTAACACTTGGATTATATAGGTTTATTAACACTGTACCATTGTTACATTTATAAATAACCATTTTCTTTTGGCATTTTGCTTTGATATATTGATGTTTAATTTCATAATGAGTGTTTTGTATGTTTTTCCCTAGAATGGATGATGAACTTATTGCTGGATGTAGTGCAGGATGAGACATCTCCAGTGGACCTTGTACATCTGGCTTTTAAATTTCTTTACATCATCACCAAGGTAACATTTGTATACTGCTTTATTGTTAACGTAACGCTTTATTAATGAGCTTGATCCAGAAGTTACCTTCCAAAATGTTGTCTTTTAGGAAACATGAGTTGTGAGCTTCACCTTTTTGTCTTTTTTACCCTAGGTGTGGAATCAGGTGTTAGTGATCCGGGGTTGGTGGGGGTCCTTTGGCTGAAGCAGTGTCTGAGATACTTAGCATGCATCTTGCACTTAAACAGATCAAGCACCACCTAGCTGGAAAGGAGAAGAGAGACAGGGGGAGAGAGTGAGAGATATGACTAATTCAGGAATTTCTTACAAAGAAAAAACCAACAGACTTGGGGGACATGGAGGTGTTTCTCAAGTTTTAATGTGCAGATGAATCTCCTGGGGATCTTGTTATGGTCCAGATTCTGGGTAAGGGGTTGGGGTGATACTCTGCATTCCTGCAAGCTCTCGGGTGATGTCCACGTGCCTGCAGACTGATGTTTGCAGTTTTGACCGTGGGGTGACCCGGCCATCTCGGGGTGGGCGGTGGGGTTCTGTGAGGCTGCCAGTCGTGGGAGTGCCGCTGTTGGCATGGGGAGGCAGCCCAGGTGGGTCACCCCCCGCACACTTCTTTGCAGCTTAACTGGCTGCGTGCAGGCAGGCTTCCCCCCAGAAGGTGTAGTGCTTCTGCATTTCAGGGAAGCCTTGATGAATTTCAGGACCTTTGAGGTTCTCCAGGACTTACTCCTCAAATGCCAGAGGGCAGTCGCATAAATGAGGCAGAAGCAGAACTTTGTAGTTCATGACATGTCTGTATTTCTGACGAGCAGCAGCATGTAAGGTGTTATTCAAATTGGGACAACATATTTATGAAGTGGTGTGTGAAGCAAAGATCGCTTCTCTCCCGTCAGTCTTGCTAGCATGTGGCACCAGTATGGCGCATGCCTCCTCGGTCACTGGGTGGCATAGGTCATGATTTTTGATAATAGAAGAAAAAGATAACTTTACTACTTTCTGTATTTTCTGATTATAACTTAATGTCTTTATTTGGTAGGTTCGAGGATATAAAACATTCCTTCGTTTATTTCCTCATGAAGTAGCTGATGTACAGCCTGTTTTAGATATGTTTACAAATCAGAATCCTAAAGACCATGAAGTGAGTGTTCCTTCTTTCCTCCCTTTCATCTCCATCCCTCCCTGCATGTCTGCTTCACCCTCTACTGGCAGCTTATCTTCTGCTTCCTTCCAGCTATCTTAGGGTGTTCGGGACTGCTCCCTCTCTTTTCTTTTTCTCACTTTACATTTGTTCCTTTAAATCATTTTATTTTAAAGTGTGTCCTTTATAAAGAAAAAAAATGCCTACATAGGATATAACCACAACATCCTAATTTTAGCTTGATACAGAACCATGTTGGGGTCCTCAGCACTGCCCCCGGCCCAGTGACCCTGAGCACCACTGTGGGACTGGGCGCGTAGTTGTTCTTTTGGCTCTTATTTATCACAGCAGAATCGCAGGGGGAAAAGGCACGTGGGAAGCCCAGAGGAGGACAGGAGCAAGCTCCTGAGTCGTCTCCCAGTTGGGTCACACGAGCACTTGTAATTCTCTCAGCACCAAGCTGTGACAGTGTGTGGGAGGGGCGGTCACAGAAGCCAGTGCCCAGGATTTTTATTGGGGGCTGTCCTGTGGGTACCCTCTGTGGAGCGGATACCTCTGGAAATTCCAGTCTTTCAGAAGGAAAGCAGGTGTTCAGCGTAAGCCACATGGTTTATACAAACAGCTTAGGCACAGAGAGTCACCATTATTAGTTAGGAATGATGGAAACCCTTCCAAAATCCAGGTTCCCAGTCGCCTGCTCTTGGATATCCTTGTAAACAGGCCTTTCCCGGGAGCGCAGTCAGGCTGCTGAGGGGTGCTCTTCCGCCCGGCTCTGTGACGGCTCCCAGAGAGCGTGCCCCGGGCAGAAGACGTGGCTGAGCACTTCCCGGGCTCCTCCGCTTCCTAGGCCCTCCGTGGGTGATTCCAGGGCCAAAGTGGAGTCTTGTTACACTGACTACTGGAAGTAGGGGTGCTCCTCTTTGAAGCTGAATATTTTTTCCTCACGTGTTCTGTTTTTAAGTTTGAGTCTGTTTTCCACATGCTCAAAAGGCTGATAGCATGCAGAAAGGTGCAGGTGAAGGGAAGCTGCTATACTGATGTGTTGTGCTTGGCCTTTGTTCCCTTTGCTGCTGCCTTGGTGGGAACAGGCGACTTGGGTTGGGTGGAGCTGATGACTGTCTGCACCCCAGGCTCTGCGGGTGACCGCAGTCAAAGGGCCCGTGGTGGGTTTAGCGGGGCAGGGGAGGCAACAGGGCTGCGGTGGTGTGTCCGAGTTGCCTCTGTCCTTTACACAGGAATCATTTCACTTCGATTTACCTTCTCAGACTTGGGAGACCCGCTACATGCTTCTACTGTGGCTCTCTGTGACCTGCCTGATCCCTTTTGATTTCTCACGCCTTGACGGGAACCTCCTCACTCACCCTGGGCAAAGTCGATTGTCCGTAATGGACCGTATTCTCCAAATAGCAGAGGTAAATGAGATCACGTGAATAATTAGTTGCTAATTAGGTTCTCTTTCATGCTCATGCTGTCTTGATGAGAGTTAATTAGATACACTTTTGACATTTACTGTTACTGTTTTTAAGTGAGGCAGAATTCCATTTCATGATTTATTTTGAAATTGTGATAATTCACATAGGAGTCAGGATGAATAGCACATTTCATTTCTTTATAGGTAATGCGTACTCTGTTAAGCATAATAGTGACATATGAGAGGTTTCAGGAGCAATGGTATAAGAAAATACAGGCCATTTTGAATTTAGTTTTTAATTATATAATTGTGTAAATAATAAATGATCATTGTAGGAAAACTAGAAAATAAAGGGAAGAAAGAAAGATACTGAATTGAATCTCACAAATGCTAATGCCAACAGGTAACACTTGCATATTTTCTTCAAACTATTTCTGATGCAAATATGCACATAGTCTTAATTATTGTATTGGTTACCTATGGCTGTGTGAAAACTTGCCCCAAACTTGAGTGGATTAACACAGCCCCCATTTAACATCTGTGTCTGTGGGTCAGGAGTCTGGACGTGGTTCCTCTGCCTGCTGCACTGAGGTCTTCTGGCTATAGGCAAACCTCACTCGGGGCATGTCTGCTTCAGGCTCTCGTCGGCAGAGCTCAGTCCTCGGGTGCTGGACGGAGGTCCTCAACTCTTTGCTGGCTGTTCCCTGCCAGGTGGCCCCCCACCGCCAACATGGCAGCTTTTTCTGTCAAAGCCAACGAGGGTCAGGGTCTTCTAGCAGTACAGGTGTCACAATAATGTATCACCAAGTCACGGAGGTGACAGCCCAGCCTTTGCCAAACTCTCTTGATTAGAAGCAAGTCACTGTATCTGCCCACACGGGAGGGATAACATAGGCCAAGCACCAGTGGGCAGGCCCAGAGACCATCTCAGGTTGTGTCTCACACTTATTTATATTAAGCATTTATTGAGTACCTGCTGTGTGCCAGACACTGTTCTAATTCCTTTCATACATCAACTCATTTAATGGTACTTAATGAGGCAGCTAACTGGTTTTATCCTCATTTTACTGAGGAGGTGACAGGTCTAACATTGAGCACCTCAGCTGGCTCGTTTTCTCGTAAGAGGTAGATCCAGATCTGAGCCCGGGCATTGTAGCTTCACAGTGCCCCGCATGGGGCACTCTGCAAGGGCCCCGGGTCCTGCCGTTCTGTGGCCTGTCCTCTCCAAAGCAGTTTGTTCTGAGCATCTTACTCTGTCGGAAAGTAGATGTCCCCCCTACAACCTTTAAGGGAAAGAGATTCCTTTGTGTGCTGATTTTCTCATAGATGGACAATTGGTGTTTCTACTTTTCTGTTAAAAGCAGTATGGCGAACCACCTCTCACATGCTCCTTGTGTGTGTGGGTGTGCAGGTGGGATTGCCAGGTAAGAGGCATACGCTCCTAAAGATTTGGCAGTCTGTATGGCTGGCCTCCAGAAAGCCTGCCCCTTTAGAAAAAAGATCTTTTAATGTGTCATTTGGAGAAAAGTTAGTTGAGGTGAGACCTGGAAGCCTCTCAAGGCAGGCCTCCTGGAAAGCCAGCCATTAGTACAAACCCAGGGTCCCCCACCATGTGGGGGTCCACTGAGTGCTAAGTGCTGTGGGGTCCCCATTGTGCTCTTGGACACTGTGAGTCTTTGTCACGGCTGGGTAACACACGTGATTCATTTTTCTGTTATTTTTTTCAAATGTGTGTTTGAAGGGTGTGAGCATATGCCATGCACAGATTAGGCCCTTCTCCAAGGGCCGGTGCAGCAGTTGGCAGCTACAGGCCACTCCTGTCTGGTTTGGGAGGGGCTTGTGCACCTTTGGAATCGACCCTGCCTGTAGGCTCAGTGAGCCGGCCCGGGGAGCTGCGCGTGTGTAACTGTGCCTGCACTTCTCCTTTTTTGTAGTGTTACCTGGCTGTCAGCGACAAGGCACGAGACGCAGCTGCTGTCCTCGTGTCCAGGTAAGTGCCCTGGACTCCCGCAGCCGTGTTGGCTACTGTGTGGCTGCTGTGTTGGTGACAGTTTGTCCAGGGTGCTCTTCTGTGGCGCTGTGTGTCTGGGTCGTCCTCTGAGGGGGATGCTGGGCTCGTGGGGAGTCTTTCCTGCTGCTGGTACTCTGTGCCTTGTACCAGTCCTGCATGTGTGCGGGACACGTGACCCTGCTGGGACTGCTGGGGCTCAGAGAGGTCACCTGGCAGACCCATCAGTGGAGCCCAGCTTTAGGACAGGTACAGCAGTTGTACCGGGGGCAGGACCTCACCTTTGGGGTGGTGGCAGTTAGATGAACCTTTGAACATCCTTTAGGAAGCCGTTCTGGTTGGTGGACATCATGAGCAGTAATTGGGATAGAAGTCCTTCAACATTCTGTTAACTAAAAACCAGGCAGTGCCTCAAACAGGTGAATACAGTTTTATCTGATGGGCTGGGCAAGACCGCCCAAACTATATTAAGTGATGTAAAGTAGGTGCATAGAGTAAATAAATTAGAAAATCTGGCTTCCCCCCCACCAGCATTTGTGAAAGTTGAAAATTAGCCATGAAAACTTTGATATTTTGATTGGGAAAATGGGTAACATCTCATTCAGGCCACCTTATACTTAGGCGCAGAGCCATGACCTTGCACAATGAGAAGAGAAACGCTTAATTTAGGGGCAGGTGGGCACTGGCTGAGGCTTTTGTTAGAGCACTTGGTAAGTGGCGGGCAGAGACTGAACAGGAGCTGATTTTAGGGGTGGAGCCCACCTGTGTACCCCCTGGGAAGGAGAAGCTCACCAGATAGAGGCTTCTTGCGGTTTTGACAGAACTGGGAAGCATATGGCTTTTTCTGTAATCATGAATGTGGTTCCTGTGTTGGAAGATAAAAGTCTAAAGGACAGGGAAAACTTGTGTGAACTTTCCTTGCCCGGAGATGGGCCATCCGGGCAGGTGCTGCCCACTGTGCCGTGCCTGTGCTGGTGTCCCAGCCAGGCCGGGAGCCTCGTGCTGTCTCCCTCCAACCCATCACTATGTCTGCCGCGCTGTTTCTCCAGCCCCTTTCTGGACAGGTAGACTGCCACCTGCCAGTTCGTTAGTAAAGGTAATGCTGTTGTGAACCTGGTACAGTAGCTCTGAGGAACGCATTCCTGGGAGTGAGAGGAGCAGCTTTGGATTTAAATGCAGTCACTGGAAATGTTGAGCTCGTTGAAGGTCTCCTTCTCCCCTACCAACGCTGTGTGCAGCCTTAACAAATTTTGCCAAACTCATTAAAAGAAAAATGACATGTTCTTATTTTTTATACCAGCAATACTGAGGGTTTGGTGGAGCTATGCTGAGCTTGACTTTGTGGGGCATTGTGGGGGTGAAGGAGGTGACGTCCTCCAGGAAAGGAGACAGCCAGGGGTTTGGCCTGCAGGCGGCCCACCGGTGGCGGCCTCTCCTGCGTAGTCTGGTGGCCGGGACGAGCAAGTGTTCGCATGGCCGAGGCCAGACTTCAGCGCAGCGTGAGCTGCGGGCTCGGCCGGCTTTCCCGACAGGGTCCTGGAATGGGCGATGCTGTGAACTGAAGAGGTCTTAGGCTGCTCTAGTCCACTCACCTCCTACCATATTCCCTGACTCGTGGCAGGTTCTGATCGAGTCAGATGGCAGGTTTCCCACCTCTTTGGTGGGCTGTTCGGGTAAGGTCAGGGGTGAAGGGTGGGTCGCGAGCTGCGCGTGTGCTCCGTGTAGTTCGTGGAGGCTGCCTGTCTGACGGTCAGATCAGCTTCCTCTCTGCTGTTCGCAGAGCTGGAATTCACCTGTCCATTTAAATGTGGGCTGCATTTCATATGACACTTGATGATTTATTGATGCCAAGACACTCATATAAGAGGATTACTTTACAGAAACTCCCATGGAAACATGCCTTTGCTCTTACTGAGCACATTAATTTTTAAAAAGCTGATGTTTTTGTCTAATTAGAAAGCAAGGTATGTTCCATGTAGGAAAGTTGGAAATCGTGGAACATACATGAGAAAAAAACACCCATTTGTAATTCTAATACAGGCATACTTTGGAGATATCGGGGGTCAGTTCCAGATGGCTGCAGTGAGGCAAATGTGGCAGACAAGAGAATATTGTTGCCGGTGAGTCAGGTGAATGCTTTGGTGTCCCGGTTTGTTTACACTCCATAGTAGTCTGAAGTGTGCAAAAATGTTACGTCTAAAGAAACAGTGTGCACACCTTAATGAGAAAACACTATTGCTAAAAAATGCCCACCATCATCTGAGCCTCCAGCTTACAGGTCACCATAGTAAATGTAATAATGGTGACAAAGTTTGAAATAGTGGGAGAATTACCAAAATAGGACACGACAGGAGGTGAGCAAATGATGGAAAAGTGGTGCTGGTGTGCCCCGCGTAGGCTGCCACAGACCTTCAGTTGGTGTGAAGTGCAGCTCAGTGAGGGCTGCCTGTGTGCAGAATGCAGTATGCTTATTTTGCCTTTTCTGTCCTGCGTTGCATTGAATTTGTGCGGCAGATCGCATTGAGTCAGCTTCTGCCTTTCACTCTTTTACAGTTACCGTCGATCGTATGGCTCCATCATGGCCCCGTGGCTTTGGGAGCTCTGATCAGACTCTCCACTTCCTTCCTTTTATTATTTTTTAATTAATTAATTAACTAATTATTTTTATTAAGGTATCATTGATATACAGTCTTATAAAGGTTTCTCGTGAGCAGCGTTGTGGCTATTGCACTCACTCATATTATCAAGTCCCCCTCCCCACCCCATTACAGTCACTGTCCATTAGCATAACAAGATGCCACAGAGTCACCACTTGGCTTCTCTGTGCTGTACTGCTTTCCCATTGATGCCCCTACATTGTGTGTGCTAATCATAATGACCCTCAATCCCCTTCTCCCTCCCTCCCCATCCACCCTCCCTGACCCCTTCCCTTTGGTAACCACCAATCCCTCCTTGGAGTCTGTGATTCTGCTGCTGTTTGTCCCTTCAGTTTTGCTTCGTTGTTATACTACACAAATGAGAGAAATCATTTTGTACTTGTCTTTCTCCGCCTGGCTTATTTCACTGAGCATGATATCCTCTAGCTCCATCCATGTTGTTGCAAATGGTAGGATTTGTTTTCTTCTTATGGCTGAATAATATTCCATTGTGTATATGTACCACCTCTTCTTTATCCATTCATCTACTGATAGACGCTTAGGTTGCTTCCATATCTCGGCTATTGTAAATAGTGCTGCAGTAAACTGTGGTGCAAATGTATTTTTGAATCTGAGATCTTGGTTCCTTTGGGTAAATTCCTAGGAGTGGAATTCCTGGGGCAAATGGTATTTCTATTTTGAGTTTTTTGAGGAACGTCCATACTGCTTACCACAATGGTTGAACTAATTTACATTCCCACCAGCAGTGTAGGAGGGTTCCCCTTTCTCCACATCCTTGTCAGCATTTGTTGTTCCTAGTCTTTTGGATGCTGACCATCCTAACTGGTGTGAGGTGATACCTTATTGTGGTTTTAATTTGCATTTCCCTGATAATTAGCCATGTGGAGCATCTTTTCATGTGCCTGTTGGTCATCTGAATTTCTTCTTTGAAGAATTGTTTATTCATATCCTCTGCCCATTTTTTAATAGGGTTATTTGCTTTTGCATGTTGAGGTGTGTAAGTTCTTTATATATTTTGGATGTTAACCCCTTGTCGGATATGTCATTTACAAATATATTCTCCCATACTGTAGGATGCCTTTTTGTTCTGCTGATGGTGTCCTTTGCCATACAGAAGCTTTTTAGTTTGATGTAGTCCCATTTGTTCATTTTTGCTTTTGTTTCCCTTGCCTGGGGAGATATGTTCATGAAGAAGTCGCTCATGTTTATGTCCAAGAGATTTTTGCCTATGTTTTTTTCTAAGAGTTTTATGGTTTCATGACTTACATTCAGGTCTTTGATCCATTT